ATAGATTAATATTAAAAATAATTTTTAAAAAATAATTATTATTATACTTTTAAATAATTAAATATCATGATGAATAAAAAATTAAGGACTAATAATACATTCAACGCTAGAAATTTCCAGGCCATCTTGTAAATTTCCAGGCCATCTTGTATATAGTGATGAGAAAGGTTGTGAGGTTTGATAATTGAAATACATCAGTGTTGTTTTATTTTTATATTTTAAAAATATTTTAAAAATAATTTAATTTTTTTAAAATTAATATATTTTTAATATTTTTAAATTATTTTGATATACTGATTTGATTTTTTTAGCGTTTTTAAATTATTTAATATTAATATAAAAATTTATTTTTAAAATTATTTTAATATATTTCTAAATAAAAAACAACATTTTAAAAAACAACATCGACCTCATTCTCAAACACCACCTAAATCAAAATTGCAACAGTGGTAAACAAGTAGCTGATTGGTAATCTTCCCCACATCTCATGCGATGCAAGCAGCCCTTTTTTATGGTTTCTTGAAAAAAGTATTCTCTCAATAATCACCAAAGAATCGCGCAAGACATTTGAATTCAGAGCCACATCCTTCTCCTAGCTGAGCTCGAGGAACAGTTAGTTTCATTACCACCAACATTTCCCAGAAAAAGAAACCAAGTGCATATTCTAATATTGACTCAACATGAAAGCAGAAGCTTATTTGGAACCCTGAAAGAGACGTAAAAATACTGGCATAACTCAGAGTGCGCTTCCAGCCACGCAGCTATTCTTAATAGAGCGAGAGTCCTCTTCAGCAAGTTTGTTGTTATTCCACCACTTAAGGACAATACCATGCTAGTCAATTTCGAATATGATCAGCATAAGAAAACTCCTAAATAACTTTGTTTCTTTTCTCCCATCCTGCCCTAATTACTTGTATATATATATGATCAGGTATTGGTCTTGAATTTATTATTTTGGGACCATAGAAAAAAACCAACCACTTTCAGGCCAATATCATTTAGGCAAAACATGTATATGCAGTGTCCTCAGCCATAAACATTAGTAGAAATTAGTCCCATCAGATTTCAATTTCCCTGCACATAACTAAGATCATCCACTAAAATTTACATGCTTTCAGTTCCCATTGACTGAGATATGAAATCGTCGTGAATATGGAATCACGGAATTTGCACTGAATGACAAAGGCAGCATGTTATCCTAGTACGGAAAACAAAAGGAGTCATGACATCTTATCCCAGGTGGGGCATGTTTAAGAAGATACAGAGAATGTTTAAGAGAAACCAACCTAACGAGCAGCTTGAGCTAATGTCCCTAGATGACTCATTTATCAAGCTAGATTTATGTGGCTCTGGTTAATCTTCCAGCTTTTCCTCTGCTTTCCTTTTTAATTTGTTCTTCTCGCCAGAAGCGTTGTTATCAGAGCTGCTCACAGCTTCCTTCTTGTGCTTCCTCTGAAAGGTGTATTTAAGAAGCCTATTGTCTGATTGACTCGGAAACACATTAGATTCCAAGGATGATTTGGCAACTTTTATATCAGAGGGCACCGGCGGTACACTAACAGTAATTTCTTCGGATGTTTTGGCATCTTTCAAATTAGAAAATACAATTGGTACATTGATCATCTGAGCATTTGATTCATAACTTGGAACTATAGGACTCTGGTTAGAATCGAGTTCTTCTTTTTCCAATTCATCTACAAACTCCATGTCCTTGTCTGCGTCAGTTTCCTCAACGGATCCACAGAGTGCCTTTACACTAACTTCAACATTTGTAGAGCCACATATTGAATCCAAATCAACTCTAATTGGTGTTAAAACGGGACCCAAGCTAGGTAGTGGCTTCAGCTTGACATCATTTTCAGTTATCTTTGACTGGTCTTCGTCAGATTTAACATTACCATGGAGCAAAAATGAGTAATTCTTGCAAGGAGTGAGAACAAAAGGTTTTTGACAAATTTCAGAGTGTTGAATCGAAGGGGACGAGGTCGAGGAAGAGCCAGAAGTTGTAATTCGTTCTGTTCTTGGTCTTTTCCCTTCAGGAACAATCATTTCAGCAGTAAGGCAGTCATTTGTTTCCAGCAATTCTTCTTCCAGCTCAATGGGATTCTTCTTCATATCCTGATTGCTAGGCTTGACAGGGGGTGAGGTGCACAAATGTTGATCAGATTTAACAGTGCCATTTACTGAGTTTATCTTACGACGAGAAACTATAGAAGGTGGTTGATAAGGTTTTCTGACAATGGGACAAGACTTGCGCTTAGCTTTGGCTTTTGCAAACCTCCCCCTTTTCTGTCTTGATGAGCAAACCTTGACATGGTTTCTTACTTCTTCCCCTGAAAAGTTCATTTTCCTCACGTTCTTAGTCTTAGGAGAAGTTTCAGTACATTTACCTTCATCCCCATTACTTGCTTTGACAATAACCTCATTCTTTACGAGTGATTGCTGCTCCACTCCTACATCTGAAGGAGGCAATTTGCTAGCAAACGCATTTCCTTCAGATGCACGAATTCTCTGCGTACAACCATTTCTATACAACTCCGGCTCCTTGTTTGCCATAGTAATGGAGGCTAAGTCTGCATTACGTGAAGAATAGTTCTCCAAAGGTGAAACACTCAATTGCTGATCTTCTGTGTTGCAGCACCTATTGAAATTTCTCTGATCCAGTAGTGTACTCTTTACATTAGAAGTTGCCACAGTTTGAGGTGGCAAATTAGATAGAGAGAGTACAATGGGCTCACATGTTAAACGTTGGTGAGAAGATTCATTTTCCTTCACAGCTTCTCCATTCGAAGGTTGGACTTGGCTGTTCCTTACCTTCTCTAGCTCATCACGTACCCATCTCAACTCTGCTCTAAGATCTATTATGACACCCTCTGCCTCCTGGAGCTGCGCCTCAAGCTCATCAATCTTACTCTGTTGGCTTGCGGATATTATCTCTGCTTCAATTGCCTGCAAAGAAAGAAAAATGAGACAGATGCATTAATGCTTGCAAGATGAAAGGGAACATATATAAGACTAACGGCTGCACTCGGTATCAGCTGTCCAAGTAACAAGGCGAGCCACGCAACAAATTCTGAGCAAAATGTAGTGGAGCTGCTCATTAGAACTCAAGCAAGCAGGTAGCATAAAAAACAAAAGTAATATCTTCCACACCAAAATACCTTTAAATTCTATATCAGATGAAAAGAAACATATATATATATATATATATATATATATATATATAAACTAAATGAGCACCCATGATTATCGAGAAATGGAAAAATGAAAAACCATTTCTTCACAACCCTTCTAATATATGATAAAATCAAAACTTTCATGTAAAGTAAAAGGTGGCGCGACAGCAGGAACAAGAAATGAGATGAAAAATAAGGTTACTTTGGCATCGATCATTTGTTTCAAGCGAAGAAGTAATCGAAGCGCCTCGTCTTTTGAACTGCAGAGATCGTGATGATAGCGAAGGCCTTTTCGCTCCGACTCCATTACTCTGCTTGCTGCCTCTTTTGCTGTATTCAATATTATATCTGCATATGCTTTTTTCAACGCCACCAGTTTCTACAAAGACAGCCAGACTATTTTATTTTTATTTTTTTCTTTGTTTTCATTTAAAATCAAAACCAAGAATGAGATAATCAAATTTAAAATTAAAGTAAAAATATTAAACAAATTAACATGTGCTAGTACTGAGGATGAGGGCCGTTTAGCAATTTCACCTCTGATTCTGCCATGGCGAGGAAGGTTGCTTCTCTCCTTCTCTTTGCTTCTCCTCCTCTGGTTGAAAAAAGAGTGGGTTTTAGGTTTACCAGCTGACGGATACCTTGATATTACTTGATTACCCCTGCTTTTGAATTTGAATTACGTGAACGGAGAATCTGTTACTCGTTTCTGGACCCCTTTCCATTTTTGCTGCAGGACTATATCGCTGCATCCATAATGTTTGTCGGTTTACAGGCGCGCAACTGACTATGGGACCCACCTCCATACCTCTTTTTATTATATTTACTGACGGTGGTTTTTTTTTTTTTTTAATTGTACTCGAGAACTGTCATTTATCAAAACTAACTAATTAATGAGTTTTTATAATTTTAAAAACTGTATAATTAATCTTATATTCAATGTGTACATATATATATATATATATATATATATATATGTGTGTGTGTGTGTGTGTTATTTTTAACATTTCATGTTTTCTAATTATTTTTTTATTTTAAAACATAAAAAATAACTAAATAATCATTTTACCTGTAAATTAATAATATACAAACTTAAAATGATATTATCTCTATTATTTTTTTATTTAATAGAATATATACCCATAAATTTATCTTTCAAGACAAATGTTGAAGGTTTAATCCAATATAGATGAATGTATCTATTCAAGATGTTAGGAATCACGCATGCATCGTAATTAAAATTTTATTGTCTTTATTTGTATATCTCAAAACATTCATTTAATTCTATATAGGTACTTATTCAACCTTAAAATAAAAAAAAATTAAAAATAAGACGCATATTAAGGCTTCGATATGCAAGACTTATATTGTTGAAGAGACCTTAATATTGATCTTGTACTATTTTGAGCTTCAATTGAAAGCAAGAATTAATCATGTTCTAAGACATAACGGTGACGGAGAAGTGACTTCATGTGGGAACTTGTCAATTTTGTACTATCTTGGATGACTCGTACCAAAAAAATTGCAAAAGGAAGATATTTGTCAGAAATAGAATTTAGACAATCACATGTTGTTATTTTTGAACAATTTATTTCTTATAATATCGTAAACTGATACATTGTTAAATTTCTCAGAGGCAATATTATCAATATTTACTATTCCAAAACTCATAGTTGACTGAATCTCAAATCTTTTGATTACAAGATAAATAAATTTTCACGTGGTTCAGAATATATGAAAATATTGTTTAATTATTCATATCTCTTGGGATATTTCATTTCATTACACATTTCTCGTTAACTATCCATGGTTGTACATCATGTACTAGGTTTATCAATTTGGAGGGAATACTAATGTTACTTTGTCTTTACTAAATTGGGTCTTGAAAGAAATGTGAAGTGCTACAATAGGTATTTTGTCAATTGACATATATTTCATACTAAATAATATAAGCAAAGTAGAAAAACATATAATAGTAGAGTTTATTTTAAGAGATCGATTTCTAATAAATTTGAAGTTGATTACTATTAGAAATTGAACAACGTTATTGAATTGCAATATCATAGTGAGTATAATAGAGTATTTTTATTCAAATATTATTGGTATGACTCCATTGACAAAGAAATTCGATTAAATCTTTATCATGGTTTGGTCGAAATTAATTCAAAGACTAAACTTCTCAACATTGACAATGTCTTTATTTTTTCCAAACAATACTAGCAAGTTTATCACATACATTTATTCCTTTAGAAATGATTATTTAAGAGTTGATTGGTTATCAGTAATGAAAACTAAACCTAGGGGTTACGTTAAAGTTGTTTAGGATGACAATGATGAATTAACTATAGGAGATGATGTTTTTTAACTTGATGAGTTAGTTAATCTATATCGAGTTTCTTTTTCTAATGACTTATAAAAAAAATTCAAATTTTTGCATTACCAAGAAAGTTTTGTTGATATTGATACTGATGAGTTGAATGATGTGTTGAGCTCCAGTAGACATACACAAAAGTTAATGAAGATGATAGTAACGAAATCAACGTAAAAATTACGATGAAGATGAGGACGAGTTAATTGATGAAGAAGAAGATAATTTTGATTCAGTTGCATAACATGAATGTGTAATGCCATAAAATATAATGCAATATTTATGAATAAAATTCACTTCATTATAATGATATTAATGTTAATTTATTATTGAATGATAAGGAAATGTTTGTTATATTATTGTGATGTGACCTAGTATTATTGTGTTATGTATGCAATTTTAAATTTAATTATTTAAAGGATGGATAGATAAGAATACAGAGACAATTTGGCATTAGATACTATTTACACTGATAGAAATATTGATAGATTATACATTACATATGGGAATACTAACGGAATGTGTCCGTCGATATATTTTTGTGACTACAAGAATTGTTTCCCTTCTTCTTAAGACTATTCATGATGTTCGTTACATATAGATATACTAATATAATGTGTCTATTGATATATTCCAGTGACTATGAGAACTTTTCACTTCTCAATGCATGAATAATTAATGTGTTTTTTTAATGTTTATTTTTTTCCAAACGTTATCACCGACAAAATAAAAGTCATTGGTAATATTACGAGGGTTTTATGAAAATTTCTATGCAAGTTAAAATTTTCCATTTGATTTTATAAACAGAATCACCAACAATAATTCTGTTGGTAAACTAAATTAAAAGACTAGAATCAGAATGTACAAGGCTTCATCTTTTTTCTTTTTTCTTCTCTTTTTTTTCACAAATTTGTTTCTCTCCTTTTCTTTTCTCTTTTCTCTCTCCTTCTCAACCAAAATCAAGTATTATCTTCTCTTCTCTTTCTCAGGTTCGAGTCCTTGGTTGCTCATATGATGGCCACTGGAGGCTTACATGGTCGTTAACTTCAGGGTCCGTGGGATTAGTCGTGGTGCGCGCAAGCTGACCCGGACACCCACGCTAATCTAAAAAAAAAAAGTATTATCTTCTCTTCTCCTCCTTAAGTCTCTTTTTTTATTTTTGGGTTTATTAACAATATCTTTTTTTTTGTTTTGTTTAATTATTAGCTGAAATTAAGCATGTCATTAAGGTCAGAATTTTTCATTTTCTTTTCTTTCTTTTTTGTGTTTTTTTTGGATATTTTTTTCTGATTATTTTTGTTCAATTTTGAGTTATTAATAGTTTTATGATTTAATAAATGTGTTGAATTTTAGTTGTTATTGAACTATTTTTTGCATTATTTTGTTGAATTTTAGTTTTTTTTTCAATTTTGTTGTTCAATTTCAATTAAACGTGTAGGATTAATTATAATTAATATTTTGTATTTATTCCATTTAGAATAATTTTTTGTAAATTTAGGATTAAAGATATTGTCACTTAGAAATAATAATGTTGATTTTTAGTTGTTATTGTAATAAGTTTTGCATTTTTTTTTTAATTTTAGTTTTTTTTTAAATTCTATTGTTCAATTTCGATTAAATGTATAAGATTAATTTTAATTATTATTTTGAATTTTTTAAATTTAGAATAATTTTTTTCTTTCTAAATTTAGGATTAAAAATATTATCATGTAGAAAAAAAATAGTTTCTATGAAATTGAATTATGTTACATTGTCAGAAGAAATTAAATAAAATCAAGTGGTTTGTGACATATATGTTGTGTATTTACAGGTTTAAAATTTTTGAATAGTCTTTTATATAAGGGAGATATTGCCAATTATTTTTTAATAAATAAGAATCCTTTAACTTTTTTATCTGTTAATTTTTATAGATGCCTAAAGGAAGTCAATTGCATATTGCGAGGACAAGATCATTGCTAGTTTTTCTAGCAGTGATACTAACGACCACGAGTCATTAGGTGCCAACCAAGAATAAGAACTTTAAGCGCATCTATCGACTCACAATATGAGCTCATTGAGTACGCTGCCACAATGTTGAGGGGGGTCCCTTCATAATGAGATTCATTTACTCACAGGTATGAAGTATGATAAAAGAACGAACTTTGAATGTAAGTTTGTTTTGCTGTCACAATAACATGTTTAATAATTTTTGAAAAAATAATTTTATTTAATGAATGCAATTTTAAGTTTACAAACATTGAATCCATGAGAACAATAACTCCAACCTTTAAATTATTAATGAAAATTTTATTGTTTTAATGGAGCCTGGTTTTCAAACATTTTAAATGGAAACTGCAAGTCAATGCATGATTTTTAATGTTCAAGGTTGGTATTAACTTAAATATTTTGTTATGTTAGTTTAGTTAGTTTATTAAAATTACTAAAATTTTCTTTTTATAATGTTATTTCAAGGGTAAATTTGAATGAGAGAGAGTTGATAATAATGTTGGAAGGAGGGTTTGGGGGAATCATATTGCAATTAGTTTAAATTGAATTCATGATGATTTTTTTATTCCAAGTATTACAATTTTATTTTTTATTTACTAATAGATAATTAATTTGTAACTTATAGATTGAGTAATTTTTTTGTACTAAATGCCAAAGAAAGCAAAACAATATGTGAAATAAAAATAGCTTTTTTCTGAAGTTATTATTTTCTTGAATTTGATGAATTTTTTTTAGAATACATATAGCAACCGATTGAATTAGAGATATAGAGACGATCCTTTAACCTATCTGAATCTCAATCTGAATTTATGGTTAGAGGTAGGTTGCGCCTAATAGACCTAATAGAAATCGGTTGTATAAACTTTCTAACACTACGATCGAGAACTTATGGACAACCCTCTTAATGTTTTTACCGTTGAAA